ACAATCATGGCAATTCCGGGTGGACCGGTAGTGAACGTTGCCAGTGCTAACCAGCACGTACCCGAGATCGAACTAGAATCCGGGTAGTCAAGGAAAGGAACGAGCTGTCCGGCATAGCCCACCGTTTACACGCATGCCAAAAATTTAACCGTCAACTTGGTGTTACAAGTCGTCAAACAGTTGACGTACTTTCCAAGTAAAGCGGGGGTAGCGAGACAATGAGCCCGTATGATAATGATGGGAGAGTCCCCGGACTATAAAAAGCACCTGAGCCTGCAGTTCGAGACTACTGCCAGGTGCATGAAGAAGACTCGCCCGTAACAGCATGGTAGGACGCACAAAGGCGGCCATCTGTATGGGAACGAGCGGAAATAAGCAAGGAGGCTACAAATTTATGAGCCTCCGCTCTGGCAAGAAAATTACTCGGCATTCATGGGACAAGATCCCAATGCCCGACACAGTGATAGCTAGAGTCAATCTATTAGGAAAAGATCAGCCTAAACTACTCGTTTTTACTGATCGAAAAAATAGACCCATTGGTGATGTCGAGATCACAGGAGTGGACGGGGAAGAAAGCAATGACGCACCCCCACTACCAATGATCCAACCGATGAGGACCTGGACGCGGATGCTGAAACCATTGACGAAATGGAAGATGATCCCGACGATCCCCAGGACAACGTTCAACGACGACGACGCCGAATCGATAGTCAACAACCGAATGAAATCGTTGAACCGAAAATCAAACGGAACCGGTTACACAACTATCGTCGAAACGGTAGAGGAACGGAACCTACTACGGACCAAAAGCCCCTGGAACAATCCCAGGAGTGGGTGTTGAACCCAAGCGGCACCTGAGACGCCAGGAGTGCGCAGGTCAGTAGATGAGGACACAAGCAAAGGAATCGTATATTCCAGCTTTGATGGAAAGAAGTAAGACGCCAAACGTCCATACAACTGAACGCCATCTAGAAGCAGTTCAGGAGGTCCATCGATTCTACAAGGCTCGTGGTTTTAGAATCACGACCATTCATGTGGACAATGAGTTGAGCCTCTGTCCAACACAATCATGGCAATGCCGGGTGGACCGGTAGTGAACGTTGCCAGTGCTAAGCACGTACCCGAGATCGAAGTAGAATCCGGGTAGTCAAGGAAAGGACACGAGCTGTCCGGCATAGCCTACCGTTCACGCGCATGCCAAAAATATTAACCGTCAACTTGGTGTACAAGTCGTCAAACAGTTGACGTACTTTCCAAGTAAGGCGGGGGTCAGCGAACAATGAGCCCCCGTATGATAATGATGGAGAGTCCCTGGACTAAAAAGCACCTGAGCCTGCATTCGGAGACTACTGCCAGTGCATGAAGAAGACTCGCCCCGAACAGCATGGTAGGACGCACAAAGGCGGCCATCTGTATGGGAACGAGCGGAAATAGCAAGGAGGCTACAAATTTATGAGCCTCCGTCCGGCAAGAAAAATACTCGGCATTCATGGGACAAGACCAATGCCCGACAAAGTGATAGCTAGAGTCAAACTATTAGGAAAAGATCAGCCTAAACTACTCATTTTTACTGACGAAAAATAGACCCATTGGTGATGTCGAGATCACAGGATGGACGGGGAAGAAAGCAATGACGCACCCCACTACAATGATCCAAACCGATGAGGACCTGGACGCGGATGCTAAACCATTGACGAAATGGAAGATGACCCGACGATCCCCAGGACAACATCAACGACGACGACGCCGAATCGATATCAACGAACCGAATGAAAACGTTGAACCAAAATCGAAAGGAACCGGTTACACAACCTATCGTCGAAACGGTAGAGGAACCGGAACCTACTACGCGACCAACAGCCCCTGGAACAAGATCCCAGGAGTGGGTGTTGAAACCCAAGCGGCACCTGAGCAGACGCCAGGAGTGCGCAGGTCTAGTAGAGTGAGGACACAAGCAAAGGAATCGTATATTCCCAGCTTTGATGGAAAGAAGTATGAAACGCCAAACGTCCATACAACTGAACGGTGTCTTGCACCCAGATGCACACATGTTCTACACACAGGTAGAAGAGAACCTGATGTTGTAGCAGCCATCATGACACAGTTGTCATTGAAGGCTGGACTCAAGGATGGAAGACAAAGCGCACGATGCAGCCTTTGCCGAGATGAAACAGTTACATCTCAGGATACCTTCCGTCCGAAGAAAATGGAAGAACTCAGCGATATGGAACGCAAGAGTATCCTAGAGTCACACCTGTTCCTAAAGTTGAAAAGAGAACGGGAAGATCAAAGGCGAGCGGTTGCAGGAGGCAACAAACAGCGTGACTTATCTCCAAGGAAGACGCAAGACTCGCCAACAGTGTCGACAGAAGCAGTGCTACTATCCTGCATAATCGACGCTGAAGAGGAAAGGGATGTGCAGTAATTGACATCCCGAACGCCTTCATCCAGACAAGAGTCGAGGATGAAAAAGTATGGTAATCATTAGAGTAAGAGGAGTATAGTAGACATGCTGTGTGAAATGCCCCAGATGTCTACAAACGTTCGTACAACGGATAAAAAAGGCAACAAGCAGTTGCTACTGCAATGCTTGAATGCCATCTACGCACCATGGTAGCTAGCCTAACTATACTACCGTAAGTTCCGGAAGACGATGGTCCGGAACGGATTTAAGAATAATCCTTACGACCCCTGTGTAGCAACAGAATGGTGCACGGCAAACAACAAACAGTCTGCTGGCATGTAGAGACTGTAAGCTTAGCCACAAGGACTCGAAGGTAACGACCAGCTGATCCAAGTCTTCGTGATGAATCGAAAGCATATTCGAGACGGCACTGGAGAGATGACGGTGCCGAGGAAAGGTCCACACTATCTTGGCATGACCATAGACTTCACGACAAGGGTAATGCAACGTAACAATGTACAAGTACGTTGATGAAATCCTGGAAGCCTTGAAAAGGCATCGCCAGAGGAAGGGGGCACGAAAATAGAAGTAGTGCAGCCCGAAAGACCTATTCACAGTAGACGAACTGCAAAAAGCTCCAAACGAGCAAGGCAGACACCTTTCACAGCCTGGTGGCTAAGGTTTATTCGCTACGAAGAGAGCCCGACCAGACACAGGTACGGCGATATCGTTCCTACGACTAGAGTCAAGGAACGATAGGCAGATTGGGATAAACTAGTCCACCTCATGCAGTACATTAGACTGTACTAGAAAACTACCATTAGTTCTAAAGCCGACGGAAGTGGCATATGAAATGGTATGTTGATGGTTCTTTCGAGTCCATCCAAACATGAGGGTCATACCGGAGGGGTTGACCATGGGCACCGGTTACCATTATCGACTTCGACGAAACAGAAGTTAAAACGAGAAGCTAACTGAGAGTGAACTCGTGCAGTTGATGACCTGATGCCATCGATCCTTTGGACGAGGCAGTTCCTTCGGGAGCAAGGCTATGTAGTTAAAGAAACTATAGTCTATCAGGACAACAAGAGTGCCATTCTTCTAGAGAAGAACGGCAAAGCTTCTAGTAGTAAACGAACGAAGCACATCAACATTAGGTACTTCTTTGTGAGCGACAGAGTCGCAAAGAAGGAGAAAGTGTGGACTGGTTCCAACTGATGATATGGTTGCGGACTCTGGACGAAGCCGAACCAAGGTCGACTGTTCAAACAGAACGTGGACAAGTTGATGGGTGTTGTGGAACAACTCAGAGCCAGGGCACTCAGAAGGAGGGTCACGGTCGGACAAGAAGGTTCGTTCAAAGAAGGAGGCTAAGCGCAGTAAGTAAGTAAGATGGTCGACGACTAGGACAAGCTCGACGACCACAGGATGTGTTGGGGATTCGCGATTAGGATTAACCTGTACCTCTGTACTAGAAATTTCATGCCAGTAGAAATAGCATGGAAACAGAGCCACCCACTTTTTCAGTAGTATCCAATAGCAAGTAAACTAGAAGAGAGCTTAGAGCAAGAAGGAGATCAGTGGGACTGGTGCCAACTGATGATATGGTGCGGACTTCTGGACGAAGCGAACCAGGTCGACTGTTCAAACAGAACGTGGACAAGTTGTGGGCTTGTGTAATTGCAAAAAGTCTCTGGCACTTCATTGCATTGCCTGCCACGCGTTCGGTTTCGTACAGGTCTTGCCTTTCAGCGCATTAATATCCTTGCCCCATATACTTGGCCGTGTCGATGTCTTCGACGGTCACAGGGCATTTGCGATTTGATTGCTCATATCGCCCATCGAAAATCTTTAATCGATGGATAGACGAGTTGCATAAACAGCTTCGCCTTTGATGTCGGCTTTGACTTGTCGTTTTCTGAAGCCTTCCTTATTTCGGCGACAGTATTCACAAGTGCCTTCCCTTTTTTCCTAGGTCATGAACGTGTAATCCTTCACTGTTCATTTCATATACTACTCCGGTAGGCCTGGTCTAATGACTGTGTAGGTTCCTTTCGGACAGTCATAGACGATGTTGCAATTCTTGCGGACATTCTTACATAATAAGATGTTCGTGATTCTCTTTCATCGAACCATACTCTCTGTTTGTGGCCAGCTAACTTGGCTGTATGCTGGACCTTCATCTTGCCTCCGGTACTCTTCACTGTAATTGACGATCGGCTTTCCTGATGTCGGTAACCATGTCTTTATTACAGAATCTCACTACGTCTCTTACAAACTCACTCTAACAGGAACGGAATTCCTGCCACAAAGAAAATGTCCATCGTTAGGAACACATCCTTGTGTAATTGCAAAAAGTCTCTTGGCACTTTCATTGCATTGCCTGCCACTGCGTTCGGTTTCGTTCGAGTGGTCTTGGCTTTCAACGCATCAATATCCTTGCCCCATATGGCTTGTGCCGTGTCGATGTCTTACACAATTCTAGAACCAACCATTCTAGAACCACGCTTTTTGCTGCTTTTTGCTGTCTACACTAATTTCTATAGTAAGTTGCTGTTTCATCCACCGCTCCAAGAAAGAAAACAAAGGAGGGACCATGGCACCTTCCAGTGGCAACTGCCAACCAACCAAGGAAGTAGGAAGCAACCGGGCAACAGCAATGAGCAGTATCAATACCCATGGAGACACACCCTCAAAGGTTTGGCATAAATCAGCCGAGAAACCATTGAGATCGATACTGATTGCCGTCAATAGACCCAAAAATTCCACAACGACCAACCCAGCCAGCAGTAGCACGAGGAAGCCAACCACCCATAGCATGACGAAGCCAACCAGCAGCAGTCCGAAAGAGAAAGAGAAAGACGAAGATGGATTTTTACCAGTCGAAACACTCTCCAAGCGCCGCCTTTCTCCGAGTCGTCGCGACTCTCATGCTCCTGCAACCAAACCAGTCAACAACAATCGGTTTGCCTCCTTGGCAGACGAGGACAACAAGGAGAACACCGCCAAAGAGAAATGGCAAGCTACTGCCAGCAAGCAACTGAATGCGGACAAGCAAACGAATGACCGCACATCAACTAGGAACAGCAGTAAAAGCAGAAGCCCATCTAGGAAGAACAGTAGTAAACATGGGAGTAAGAGCGGCAGTGCCAGCAATACCAACAAGAATAGGAAGAAGAACAAGAGCAACAACACTAGTGATTCTTTGCATTCTACCATGAATTTACAAGATACCGGAGCAACAACACTAAGCAGTGAAAATACAACTGACAAGGTGACGACATCGACGACGATCATTGACAATGATGGAGTTCTTCCAACAGCCGTGACCACAAACAACAAAATCAACCGCTCTCCAACATTGGCAGAATTGGCGAAATTCCCTGAACCTACAAGTGACAAAGAAAACTATGATAACAAAGAAAACAACACTCAGAAACCTTTATCAAACCGGGATCAACTATTCGTCACTGACAATCGACAATGCGATCGTAACACTAGCACCCCTGACTCGACGTTGGAAGACGATGTCCTAAATCAATTTGCCTCGTTAAAAATTGCGGGTGGCAAGGAAACACCGCTACGAAATACGAAACAAGAGATGACACCAGCAGCGGCAGAAGTAGCAACAAACCAAGAGAAGGCGGGGAACAATGAAACAACAAGAGCAAAGGCAGTGGCAGCAATAACCAACAACGATATCAATCTTCAGGTGGCAACTAGGGGAACCCAGAAGCCGGCTGAACCCACGAGTGACGACAAGGTGTGTCACAAGATTTTGCCAAAAGCAGGAACAACGCGAAAAGCAAAAGTTGCGGCCATGGCATCATTACTTAAATCCACTCCTCAGCTGACTGCTGCAACACCACCACGAACCGCCATAATTCACTTTGAAGAGCCTACTCCAAAAACAAACAATGCTACGCGTCGATCCTTTACCTACACAGTGGCGCAGGCAACTAAAGAGACAGAAGAAACCAGCAAACAATCCATTCCTACCACCCGACCCGCAGCCCAGCTATAACACCGACGCGCCCGCTAGCTGATTGCAACATGGAATCACCAGCCCCACAAACTAACAATGTCACAAGAGCATTCATCCCAGAGAAAACTGGAAATAACCCTCCAGTAAAGCAATCGTTCACAACTCAATACCAAGCCGCCATCATGGGAGTAAATACAGAGATCTCGAAACCGGTTCTTAACGTTGAGGTAATCAGTCCAAACATTGCCAACCTTGCCCACAAGAAAAAATGCAACTCTAGGAATATATCACGAGGCGTTGTACTGTACAACGATGAGGCGAGCCCAGCTTTGCCGGATGAGGCATCCCTCGTGGATTACTCCCTTCATCAGGGATCAGATCTTTTTCAGAAGCTATCTGGGGATTGGATCTCCCCTTTGATAGAAACAAATGGCGTTCCGGTGCTATGCTTGCAATGCGGTCAACCAGCCAAACTCTCCCAAAGGACATTAAGTGATGTCACCGCCAGAATGTTGGGATTACAAAATCGAGAAGAGCCAATTTACTTCTGCTGCCAATGTGAGGAGTTCATAGCCCTAGAAGGAATTATGGCAATGCCACAGAAACTTCCAGCATCCCTGAGCCCACCACATGGACATAACCCCAGAGCAACCATCAAACCAACCTCTCTTCCAGTCAACCATGCCAAGATGATGATCCCGACTACCCTATTTCCACTGTCCCCGCCAAAACTGAGTAGAAGAACTCCCAAGCAAAGTTCCCGTGCAGATAATGATGCATGTCCCAATCAGGAAAAGTTGATCCCGCTGAGAGGCAATCAGGGCGATGCTACCTATGTAGATTGCAATCAAGCCAATCTGGAAGTAACAATGAAGCCAAAACCAAGCCCAATGAAAGCCCACAAGAAGACAATGTTGGAAAGAGCCCTTGCAACTACCATTAGTCCCAGAGATATTTCTACAGCCAAACAATCTTTGAACACTGACAACACCAAATACCAAGACTTTGACTCCTTTCCACCTGAAATCAAAGGTATGCGCAGGAACATTCACCAGTGCTCCTGTCACCATCGAACAGCCACTGAATTGGCGGCAGGCCGGCTATGTTTGTGCTGCAGATGTGGCTCGAAGGCCTGCAAACTGGAGTTAAAACTGGATGCGATGGGCAAGATTCCAGCTGGCTTCGGATGTCATTCAACGGCTGAAGAGGCAGTGACCAAGATACTGGCATACCACGAGAACAGAGGTGACCCACTACCAGACAATTGGGATGTCTTATATGACTCTGATGGGAACTCAGTGGGATCCTTCAAACAAACACAAAGCCAGTGATGCCGATGTTGATTTTGATGTTGATGTTGACACATATCAGAGAACAATGACATTACTGGAAGCTGAGTCTCCAACATGTGACAATGGAAGTCATGAGGCAAAAGAGAGTGACTGGTCCGGACAACAGCCAAACTTATTACTTAATATAGATAGTCAATCTTCTTCACAACTTTGTGTTGGAACTGACTCCAGTGTGACTGATACCACAAAGCGAGAGGGCACGAACTCTTCCATGGATGAACTTGGGTCGAGGATTCCTGTGGCAACAATGGCAACTGGAGGTGGTCAAACAACCACTGGCAAGAGATCGGCCAATGATGCTGTTGAGGATCGACCAGTAATGGAACAAGACAATGAGGGTCAACACCCAGAACAAGGCGGATCTGGAAAGAATGATGGCAACCATAATGGCGGAGGCAATGATGAACAAGGAAATGGTTCAGAGGGTGGCCAGTCAGCACCTGCTGGCACCTCAGCTGTGCAGTCCTTCCCTGGAAAAGGAGCATGCATCACGGGAATTCAAAATATGACCGATCCAATTAAGTATGGACCACTCAGAGAACTTCTCAAACTCTGCAGTGATGGAAATTGTCTTTTCTTCTACACTCATGACAAGCGAGGCGACACTACTGGCAAACCTTTACCTTACTCACAGATTGAGCAGATGGATGATACAGCCCTCGGACAGGCATTCAATGTGTGCAAGCCAAAATGGGGGCAAGAGTCCAAGCACAAGTGCAGATTTGGGGCATCATTCTACTTCTACAGTCAGAAACACCTCAATGTGAGAGCTCTCAAACAAATTCCGGGAGTCATTCCTTTCCTCAAACTCCACAACTGGCAATTGAAGGCACACTCCCTTCTTCAGTCCCAGACTATCACACCTCTATTTATTCAGGGCAAACACCCCCACAAAACCAACACAGAGGCAGTGGCACAGCAGCTCATGACCTACTTCCAAACAGAGGGCATTAATGTACCTGTAGCGGTGCAAATGACTCAGTTGGGAGCAGACAAAGTCCCTATTTTGGGAATTCAATGTCACATTGAGGACGAACCCATCTTTGACAAATGGGCGCT